TGCTTACAATACAGATCCGCATTGATCAGACAAGGAGGTGAGCTAAGCCATTTCCTCATGGTTGTGTTGATTTTTTTCTCCATCGTTTCCACTGCTCACCACGAGCAGCGACCAGAAGAGCTGTGGAATCCACATGAACTGGAGACATGAGACCTTGAACTTTTCGATCGACCTGCCTCGCTGGATTGCAAGCAACCCTGTAGCCAGTGACATGTATACGCCGGACACGCTTTATCAGATAACTTTGAATTGTAGACGCGGTCGAAACACTTCACCGGTTCCTCCAGAACCGCGGAGATCCGCGAAACTGATTGCCGCCAGTTTACTTGTACGGACTGACAAACTTCTTGATTTCTGCTGTTTGAACTGCATGCCAAACCATTAGACAACGTGGTCCAACCTCTTGAGAATCTCGTGGGCCTCATCCTCACTGCCTGTTACGACAGTTGTGTCATCCGTAAATGTACGGAGTGACAACATCCAGTGGTTCCCAATTGAAAGGCCTTGCCTGTAGCCGGCAGCCCCGTCTACACAGTCAACAAGTTGCGAGGCGTGCATGTCAAGGCTGTAGTCGACGCTTTCACTTTTCATTTGAACAAGAATTTATGTTCTATTTACTATTGCTGTTCACTATTGATTACGAACACACCAATTCGTTTACGTCTCGGTCGTAATAAAAAATGGTAAAACTATGGGGGTGACTGCAGTCAAGCTAATACAATGAATTCCAGAAAAATTTGACTAAAAAGCTCAACAAAATGGGAAAAAGGAAAACGTGCACAAAACAACACAACGTAACGTTTCGGCCAGGCAGCCTTTTTCAAACACAAGTGGACTACACAAAAGAGGAATGGAGAGTATGTAGATCTCTAAGGGGTGACGTGAGCGACATTTTAAAAAATGTGATGCGGAATAAATGAAATAAAATAAAATAAACGATGGCTAAAAAATATAGTCACAATACTGGGAATAAAAGAAATGCAAGTGTTAATGATACATAAATGATATTGATAAGAAATAGAATATGGTAATAATATGAAATAAAATAAAATAATTAACATTTAAAATGTAATAAGATTAGAACTATTTAGATGAAGGTATGTTGGATATTGATACCTCTTGGACTAAGAACGCCAAGGCTGTGGATAAGGCGATTTTCCAAAGCGAGGCGGGTAGTATGATCGCCAGAGCAAGATTTTAATGCTGTGACAGATATGTCATCTTTACCGCTGTGGTCAGGGCTATTAAAATGAAGAGGGATTGGTTTGAGTGTCTTCTTGTCGATATCAGAGAGGTGTTCCCGGAAACGATCAGCTAGCTTCCTGCCAGTCTCCCCAATGTATGCCATGCTGCATCGTTTGCAGATAATTGCATAAATTACGTTGCGGGATTCGCAAGTAAAAGGTTCCCTAATTTGAAAAGAACCATTAGGGAAACTGACCGAAGAAGTCTGGACAACGAAAGGACATGTTTTGCAGGTGCTGCGTGAGCACTGAGTAGTCCCAAGAGGAAGTGCTGTATGGATCGGTGGGAGTCGGCTTCGGACAAGTATGTCTTTAAGGTTGCGATCTCGTCTGTAAACTAATCTAGGGTTCTCACTAAAGATAATCTTGGTGTCCGGATCAAGAGCGGAGGATGTCCAAATGACGAAAGAATACTTAAGTATTCTTTCGTCATTTGGACATCCTCCGCTCTGATCCGGACACCAAGATTATCTTTAGTGAGAACCCTAGATTAGTTTACAGACGAGATCGCAACCTTAAAGACATACTTGTCCGAAGCCGACTCCCACCGATCCATACAGCACTTCCTCTTGGGACTACTCAGTGCTCACGCAGCACCTGCAAAACATGTCCTTTCGTTGTCCAGACTTCTTCGGTCAGTTTCCCTAATGGTTCTTTTCAAATTAGGGAACCTTTTACTTGCGAATCCCGCAACGTAATTTATGCAATTATCTGCAAACGATGCAGCATGGCATACATTGGGGAGACTGGCAGGAAGCTAGCTGATCGTTTCCGGGAACACCTCTCTGATATCGACAAGAAGACACTCAAACCAATCCCTCTTCATTTTAATAGCCCTGACCACAGCGGTAAAGATGACATATCTGTCACAGCATTAAAATCTTGCTCTGGCGATCATACTACCCGCCTCGCTTTGGAAAATCGCCTTATCCACAGCCTTGGCGTTCTTAGTCCAAGAGGTATCAATATCCAACATACCTTCATCTAAATAGTTCTAATCTTATTACATTTTAAATGTTAATTATTTTATTTTATTTCATATTATTACCATATTCTATTTCTTATCAATATCATTTATGTATCATTAACACTTGCATTTCTTTTATTCCCAGTATTGTGACTATATTTTTTAGCCATCGTTTATTTTATTTTATTTCATTTATTCCGCATCACATTTTTTAAAATGTCGCTCACGTCACCCCTTAGAGATCTACATACTCTCCATTCCTCTTTTGTGTAGTCCACTTGTGTTTGAAAAAGGCTGCCTGGCCGAAACGTTACGTTGTGTTGTTTTGTGCACGTTTTCCTTTTTCCCATTTTGTTGAGCTTTTTAGTCAAATTTTTCTGGAATTCATTCGTAATAAAAAAGAATGCGTGATGTATACTTATGTGACTCATGAAGATACTGAAAGTGTGAAAGCTACCAGTTGCTAAGCACTAAATTGCAAGCTCCGCATGCATATTATTAACTGTCAAACGACGAGGGGAAAATAATCACGTGATACCCTCGCCAGTGTAATCGTTACTTGCTAATGCTTACAGAAGCTAATTGATCAGGCCTCGCCAGAGCACTTCACAAACGAACGTTTCCACTAACGCCTGTATTAGCTTACAAGCAACAAATGGTTTTTTCCACATAGAGAAAATGCCCTGTGACTCTATACTTTACAGAATATATTGTACACTGAAAGAGGTTAAGGACGCAGAGCAAAACTTAGACCGAGAACAAGATGAAAAGATAACATCAGAGAAACTCTACAATAGCACGATGTGTCTATGGTCGAGCCAGCCAGAGGGGCACGAAGTAGAACGTTATATCTCCTTTAACTCGAAGCAGTAAAACAGAAAGCCAAGAGGAAGATGAATATAAGTAGAGTAAGGAAAAGTAACTAAATGACCCTTTTACACGCCTTTAGGCTTATAGGGCATATAGGGTTAGATCTATATTTTATAAACCAATCGGCACAAGATAGGTGATGTGGTCAGCATCACGCAGGTCTCCTTTACTTCCCGCAACTAAACCCGGTACCCACTCAAGGCTGGGTCGACCTGGGAGCCAAGGTCATTTTTTGAAAATAGTCCGTCTCCGCCAGGGAGCAAACCTAAGACCTTCCGATCTGCGACGAGCGTCTAGCTGCTCCGCCACGATGACTCCCAAGATCAATGTACTCCAATTCTTTTGTCCTATTGCCTTATGCCGCAAAAATTCACAGAGATTTGTATGCAGTTTGCTCTATATTACTAATTACGTAGCTTGTGTGAATCTCATACTGCGTTTCTGTAGTGTCTTTTACTTCTTCCATCCGTCTCTTTCTCAATCAGTCTCTTGCCGTATAGCCTGCTGTTCTTGTAGAGTATGCTTTAGTTGCTGGCTGATTGTGTTATATTCTGACCAAATGACTGAAACATCTTTGATATTCTAAGAAATCATTGGCAAATACTGTGACTGCTATTGCTGTTAATTCTTCATTGGGACACTTTCTCTTGTTTCTCCCGCCGTATTTCTTTTACATCTCATCTCACATAGTGTATAAAGTTGTTAAAAGACAATAATTGTCTTTTTACTTTGCCCGCGCAAGACACCATCTTGTGGTAACGTGAGAGTTGTCGGCTGAGTTTTTTTTTAAAAGTACAAAACAATCATACGCAGGCAGTTAAAGCATTCAAGAAAGTTAAATGTGAAAGATAACTGTCATGTCATTTCGTGATATCCACGTCAATGATATCATAATGTCAGTCATTAGGCGGGTTTTTTATTGTCTGATGATTACAGCTGGTTCTGAACGTTACCTGAACGCCTGCAGGTGAATTGTTGAATGCGTTAATTTGTGGTTGTCAGTGTAATATCCTTGGAGAAATAGTACATTTGTGAAACCCTATTTTTTTTTTTTTTTTTTGTCTTTCGAATTTCAGTTACCTGATTCCTGTGAAACATATGATAATGGGCATTGATCTTTGTATGTTTTTACCAGATACCATATTCACCATACTATACATAACACGTGATAAGCAATAACATAATACTAAGAATAAATTTTCCTAGTTTAAATATCACCATCCCGTACCAGGTCTGTTGCTGAACGTAGCTCTCATAGCCAGACTGAAAGAAACTCGGTCACTCACTAGATCTCGGGCTTGGTGCATATTCTTACCCAAGGTGTCACTTACATCCTGTGCCCATCTTCGTGCTAGTCGACCCCTGCTCCTCTTTCCTGGCACGATGTATATTTTAACTTTTTTTTTTCCTTTTAATCCGCCGTGGCGCTTGATATGACCAAAATATTTGAGTTTCTGAGACACGATCTTGTTTATTAGCAAATCTTCGTTGATTTTCAGATCTTTTATGATGTCAGTATTTGTTTAGGTTTTCTTGTCTATGGTATTATTATAATCTTTTGATAGCGTATCAGTTCAAAAACAAATTTTCCCATAAAATTGATTGCAATAGAGTCTACGACTCACATACGTATGTTGCTGCATGGAAGATGCATGCTCTCAGAAGTGACCTTTATCCTCTAGCTTGTGCTCAACCACATACTTTTAATTCTGTTTAATCTTTGAGCCTGCTATGGCCATCTCTCTCTCAACTTCTATGGCCATCTCTCTCTCAACTTCTATGGTCATCTCTCTCTCAACTGCTAGAGCCATCTCTCTCTCAACTACTATGGTCATCTCTCACAACTGCTAGAATATCTCTCTTTCAACTGCTATGGTCATCTCTCTTTCAACTGTTATGGCATTTCTCTTTCAACTGCTATGGCCATCTCTCTTTCAACTGCTATGGCCATCTCTCTTTCAACTGCTATGGCCGTCTCTCTTTCATCTTCTATGGCCGTCTCTCTTTCAACTGCTATGGCCGTCTCTCTTTCAACTGCTATGACCGTCTCTCTTTCAACTGCTATGGTCATCTCTCTTTCAACTACTATAGCCATCTCTCTTTCAACTTCTATAGCCATTTCTCTTTCAACTACTATGGCCATCTCTTTTTCAACTACTATAGCCATCTCTCTATCAACTGCTATGACCATCTCTCTATCTACTGCTATAGCCATCTCTCTTTCAACTACTATGGCCATATCTCTTTCAACTTCTAAAGCCATCTCTCTTTCAAATACTATAGCCATCTCTCTTTCAACTGCTATGGCCATCTCTCTTTCAACTGCTATGGCCATCTCTTTTTCAACTGCTATGGCGATCTCTCTTTCAACTGCTATGGCCATCTCTCTTTCAACTGCTATGACCATCTCTCTATCAACTGCTATGGCCATCTCTCTTTCAACTGTTATGGCCATCTGTCTTTCAACTGCTATGGCCATCTCTCTTTCAACTGCTATGGCCATCTCTCTTTCAACTGCTATGGTCATCTTTCTTTCAACTTCTCTGACCATCTTTCTTTCAACTGCTATGGCCATCTCTCTTTCAACTGCTATGGCCATCTCTCTTTCAACTGCTATGGCCATCTCTCTTTCAACTGCTGTGGCCATCTCTCTTTCAACTGCTATGGCCATCTTTCTTTCAACTTCTATGAGCATCTTTCTTTCAACTGCTATGGTCATCTCTCTTTCAACTGCTAGAGCCATCTCTCTCTCAACTTGTATGACCATCTCTCTTTCAACTACTATGACCATCTCTCTTTCAACTGCTATGACCATCTCTCTATCTACTGATATGGCCATCTCTCTTTCAACTGCTATGGCCATCTCTCTCTCAACTTCTATGGCCATCTCTCTCTCAACTGCTAGAGCCATCTCTCTCTCAACTACTATGGTCATCTCTCACAACTGCTAGAATATCTCTCTTTCAACTGCTATGGTCATCTCTCTTTCAACTACTATAGCCATCTCTCTATCAACTGCTATGACCATCTCTCTATCTACTGCTATAGCCATCTCTCTTTCAACTACTATGGCCATATCTCTTTCAACTTCTAAAGCCATCTCTCTTTCAAATACTATAGCCATCTCTCTTTCAACTGCTATGGCCATCTCTCTTTCAACTGCTATGGCCATCTCTTTTTCAACTGCTATGGCGATCTCTCTTTCAACTGCTATGGCCATCTCTCTTTCAACTGCTATGACCATCTCTCTATCAACTGCTATGGCCATCTCTCTTTCAACTGTTATGGCCATCTGTCTTTCAACTGCTATGGCCATCTCTCTTTCAACTGCTATGGTCATCTTTCTTTCAACTTCTATGACCATCTTTCTTTCAACTGCTATGGCCATCTCTCTTTCAACTGCTATGGCCATCTCTCTTTCAACTGCTATGGCCATCTCTCTTTCAACTGCTATGGCCATCTCTCTTTCAACTGCTGTGGCCATCTCTCTTTCAACTGCTATGGCCATCTTTCTTTCAACTTCTATGAGCATCTTTCTTTCAACTGCTATGGTCATCTCTCTTTCAACTGCTAGAGCCATCTCTCTCTCAACTTGTATGACCATCTCTCTTTCAACTACTATGGCCATCTCTCTTTCAACTGCTATGACCATCTCTCTATCTACTGATATGGCCATCTCTCTTTCAACTGCTAGAGCCATCTCTCTCTTTCAACTTCTATAGCCATCTCTCTTTCAACTGCTATGACCATCTCTTTTTCAACTGCTATGGCCATCTCTCTTTCAACTGCTATGGCCGTCTCTCTTTCAACTGCTATAGCCATCTCTCTTTCAACTGCTATAGCTATTTATCTTTCAACTGCTATGGCCATCTCTCTTTCAACTGCTATGGCCGTCTCTCTTTCAACTGCTATGGCTATCTCTCTTTCAACTTCTATGGCCATCTCTCTTTCAACTGCTATGGCCATCTCTCTTTCAACTGCTATGGCCATCTCTCTTTCAACTTCTGTTGAACACCCCTCCTCCCCCCCCCCCGCCCCCATTGCTGTTTACTATAGAGCCTAGATATTCAAAGTTTGTGTCAATTTCAATGTCTTCCTCATTTATGTTATAATTGGGTGAAAGGCAGTTTTATCTGCCGACATTAGTCTTGTTTTCTTTATGTTCAGTAACATGTTTTGATTTTTTATTGGTTTTGTTTGTGTTTTTTGGACAGACAAAATTAGAAGTAATCTTTTAGAATTCTTGTCACACTATTCAAAAAAAAAAAAAAAAAAACCAGAATGAGACTGTCGCCCATTATCAGCTAATCATTAGCCCGGCTCTCATTTTGACATTTTCTTCTTCCTCTTCTTCTTTTCTCTACTCCTTGCGGCGTCAGGTCAGGAAGAGATCTTTGGAACGGGCTTTTCTGTTCGCTTCATTTAAAGTGCTTTTTAGTGTCTCTGATATTTCTGCGGTCCATGTCGTGCGTGGTCGATCTTCGGGTTTGTTATGGCTGTATGTGTAAAACATTGCTCTGTGTGGTGCCCTGTCTGATGTCAGTCTTGTCAAATTACCAAATCATTTGGTTTATTGTCTACCTATAAAGTTCAGTATTGGTTCAGTGCCGACTCTCCTCCTGATATGATCGTCCCAAAGTCGATCTTTCCTCGTTACGCCAAGTACAGTAACGTTTCTCTTATTGAAAACAATGTTTTTTTTTTCTCCGTAGTGAATTTAGATAATGTGGACACAGACAATACATTGCATAATTTATTGCCAGACAAATTTCGCTGAATCTCTTCAGGTACTTCACTACAGAGTTACATCAACATATATTGAAACGCAAATAACTGAATTAATTCAACTGAACTACACATCACACGATATTTCTGGATACCTTATTGGAGTAATCGCCGGAAGTTCATGATAGTCACGTGACTTGTCATGGTAACTTCAAATTTATAACTAACTCCTTCTGTTAACGTAGGACTGTGTATTTTTTTTTTTAAAGCTTCGACTAGACTCAACATTCACCTTTTTGATATGTGCTAAATAACATAGGCACCATCCTTGTCAATTAAATGTTCGGAATCAAGCAATTGGCGTACTGCCAAGAGGAAATAATCAAGAGGAAGAAAAGCCAACTGTTCTATAGGGTGTCGTTTGCTTGATTTGGGATACGCAATTGACATGGATAGTGATTCCATGTTATTCGCCACACACTGACGAGACTTCAGCCCTTTTGTTCTAAACCTAACTGCCATTTGTGTTCTTCTGATATAGCAAAGCGATTTTCTGATTGTGTGAATCCTTACGTGGATTAAACCTACAGCCCCCTCTGTCCTTTAGAATACCAGTGTCTACCAAATTCTCTTCTAAAATTTCAAAAATACATTTTGTGAAGATGTAGATACTTATACTTATCTGAAAGCTACGACAATGGTAAACTGGAAGAAGAGAATGCAAGAAGGCGACGTAGGTGTTAACTCCAAGATATTGTTGACGGACGGAAGAAAACGGACCGTTGGACAGTTGCATTGTAGAGAGTAACGGCAAACGATTCTTCCTTCTCTATGCCCAAGCAGGAACATCTTCACGAAAGTCAACTGATAAGGAGCAATTATCAAACGTCCCCCTGCCAGCGGCAGATGTTCTGATAAAACAGTTTTCATGTGCATGATGTCTATAAATCGCTACCAATTCTTGCCACCTACTGTATTGTGGAGGTAAATGTAAATAAGGTATTAGAAAATGAATTATGTTTCTATAATGTGCCTAGAAATTGCTTTAAAAAGGCAACTGATAAGACAAAAATATCAAACATTCACATGGCTACGGCAGATGGTCTGGTAAAATGACTTTTTTTTTTCATGAGCGTGTTGTCTATAAATCTCTACAGATTCTTACTAACTACTATATTGCATATGTAAATTATACTAAGGTATTAGACAGTGAATTATACCTTCATAATTTACGTATAGAATGATTATGCTTATAGTAGGGTTTACAATTACATGAGTATGTGAAATGTTATTTGTTACAGTATATATCATATTGGCGATATTGTGCTCGGTAGACGCGACGAAACATTATAGCTTGTACTGGAAGGTGTCTCTTAAAATGGCCTCAACTGCAGTCATATTTACACAACAAAGACTGCACATATTTTCAACTTTACTTTTAATCTTCTTATACATTTCAGGAAATACTATGCATTTTGTAGTAATGTTTGAGCTTGAATTCAATTTGAGATAAAAACATGTAGACCGTCTTAAAGTCTTGGTCTGCAAATATTGTTTTCAGTCAGTAACGCTCCACTCAACCACCATAAGTTGTTGGATTTCTTTGGTTGCACGTAGAAGAGTGAAGCGACAATCAGCTAACTGCTCCACGTAGCTGGGAAATTTCAACACAATAATATTCAATGACCAGGCAGGTGATGCTTTTACCGAGGTATTTTTGATGCAACATAACCCCTCAATCTGAATTGTTAGGGCAAACTATTCTTTGGGTAATGTGGGGGTTAACTA